GTTAATAGAGTAATCAAACAATTATTGTGCAATTAATAAAATTCAATGCAACTCAAGACATAATATAGCAATATGACAATAAATAAGAGAGAGAGAGAGAGAGAGAGAGAGAGAGAGAGAGAGAGAGAGAGAGAGAGACGAATTTCTTCACCAACTCTCTGATACCAAATGAAATTATCCTAAATGGGGGTTAATAGAGTAATCAAACAATTATTGTGCAATTAATAAAATTCAATGCAACTCAAGACATAATATAGCAATATGACAATAAATAAGAGAGAGAGAGAGAGAGAGAGAGAGAGAGAGAGAGAGAGAGAGAGAGAGAGCCAATTGACACGCCGATGTGTTCACGATGTTCAGTCCTCTCGACTTACGTCCCCAATCACCTCTCGTGATGGTAAACCACTAACACAACCCGGTTTGAAAGCCAGAACTTCTTCACATCGATCTCCCCAAGACCAAAACTCTCCACACTATGATCTCCTCGAGATCAAAATCTCCACACAATACAAGATGATAAAAATATCTCTCTTACCATAATCCTATGACAATGATTAAGAGATGACATTTGAAGCTTAGGGGTTGTGGGATTTGAAAATGAAAACCAAAATTGAGAACTTGAGAATGAGGTGAAAATGTAAGCTTAGAAGTCTCAAAATAAAAACTCAAGTGCTTTTCTTTGCTTGCTTAGTTACATAGTGAATGAGGGCTGAAGGGTATATATAGACCCTTAAAACAATAGCCTAGATCCAAAGAAAATCACAAAATCTAACAAAATCCCTTAAAATCAGCAAAATTGGAAACTAGTCGTTACAGTGTTATTAGTCGACTGATATACTATTCAATCGACCGATAAGTCAACCGTTGGCTGAAAACAGAAACAATCGGTCGACTGATTCTGAGAATCGGTCGACTGATTACACTTTTCAGTCGATTGATAGAGATCGGTCGACTGAGCAAATTTTTTTTAGAAAATGCAGAGCAGTTTATCGATCGATGGATAAACAGTGTCAGTCTCGAGCAGTATAGTGCCAAGCAATTGGAGGATGGATGGAATTTGCGCCATAACAATGATAATCGTAAAGGTGGAGGCAAGTTGATGAAGAAGGCTAAAATACTCAAAGAGCATTCAAGCGTATATACAAGAAGAGCTTCATCAACAAATTAGCAAATATCGAGACTCGAGATTTATATATTTTTGTGTGCGACATTTGCATTTTTATTTTCTCTCTAGATCATAATGTAAGTAGGAAATAAAGCAGATTACTTTTGAAGCTTTTGGGGATCAAACACACACATTTCTAAAAATCGTATTTTTGACCATTTTGCAAAATGATAAGTTTTCACAAGTGGAAAATGATATTTGAGAAATTCTTTTCTAACATGTTTGTTTCAAGTGAATAAACATTTCCCCAAGTTTCATAATTTTTGAAATTTATTTACTATTATTAAACACATTTTGAAAATCAAGTTTATTGTTCAAAACTAAGCTATGCAAGTTTTTCGGTCGACTGACACTGTTTATCAGCCGACCGATAAACTGCTCTGCATTTTCTAAAGGTTTCTGCCCAGTCGATCGATCTCCATCAGTTGACTGAACAGTGTAATCAGTCGATCGATTTTCCGAATCAGTCGACCAATTGTTTCTGTTTTCATCTAACGGTCGACTTATTTGTCAACTAAATAGTGTATCAGTCGACCGATAACACTGTAACGACTAGTTTCCAGTTTTGCCGATTTTAAGGGATTTTGTGATTTTCTTTGGATATGGGTCATTGTTTTAAGGGTCTATATATACCCTTCAGGCCTCATTCACTATGTAACCAAGCAAGCAAAGAAAAACACTTGAGTTTTTGTATTGAGACTTCTAAGCTCATTCTCAAGTTCTCAATTTTCGGTTTTCATTTTCAAGTCCCACAACCCCTAAGGTTCAACTGTCATCTCTTAATCCTTGCCATAGGATTATTAAGAGAGATATTTTTATCATCTTGTATTATGTGGAGAGCTTGATCTTGAGGAGATCTTAGTGTGGAGAGTTTCAGTCTCAGAGAGATCATTGTGAAGAAGTTTCGGCTTCCAAACTGGGTTGTGTTAGAGGATTACCATTGGGAGAGGTGTCATGGACGTAGGTCGAGAGGACCGAACCTCGTGGACACATCGACGTGTCAATTGGCTAACTATTTCTAACTCTCTCTATTATTTATTGCCGTATTGCTATATTATGTCATGAGTTGCATTGAATTTCATTAATTGTACATTAATTATTTGATTACCCTATTCAATCCCCCCCCAAGGGTAATTTCAGAGACCTCTAGTTTGAGATTGTTTATTTTTAAATATATATATATATTGTGTTTGGCAACTTCATAAAATAGGGTCAGGTTTAAACTTGATTTGACTTTAGGTAAAATTTTATTTGCATAAAACGAGACTAGATTTAGCCCACATTTTTTAAGGCTAATTTTAGCCTTCAAAATGGTTGTGTTTTGGTTCACCTCTCCCTCACAGATTTGGATCCTCTCCGTAACAAAAAAAAATAGTGGAAGAAACACTACGTAATCACAATAATTAATTATCTAGTTAGTGGTTATAATTTTTTCTTTTGAATGTAAATTATGAATAAGTGCAATACACAAGGATATGATGAGTGATTTAGATCATATCATAACTGCATACTAAACAATTAACTGTTGAGATTAAAAGTACTAGTCTCTCCACAACTTGTTTTTATAGTGGAGAGGATCCAAATTCCCCCTTATTCCAAAACAAAAGCTACTTTAAAATATGATAGCGTAGTTACCAGACACGCCCGTAGTGTTTTTATTACCGGATGTTGAATATTCTTTAGATCTATGAAATCTAAACAAGGAAAATTGTGGTGAAATTTAGATGATTAAAAATCAATTTTCTTCTTTACTCGAATGCGTTAATTGTTCCACAAATATACCCTATGTGCTTGAAGTTCAAACCAAATTGTTTACTTAAGAAAATGTATTGATATTTAATCTCTCTAAGTACGATTTTTTAAAATCTCTATCCATTTTCTCAATGGGGCATAAAAAAATATCAAGAGAAAATTGTGTCAAGACCCTAAGTTTGAGAAGGACATGTGACCGAGTCCCTCCTACATTTGCCTATATGCTCAAGCTCATAATTATTTGAAAAAATTGTGGTCAGCCCCTCCAAATCATCTATAGCCTATACATATTTGACCCAAAAACCTAATTTTACGCATTCCCCAAAATTTATATTAGACCAACATTCCATGTTTTACTCCTTCCACCCACTCAAAATCACCATCATCTCTTCTCCATCAAAATGCCCCCTTCTTCTTCCTCTTCTTCCTCCTCTCTCCTCATCTCAAAATCCAAGCGCCAAAAATCTTAACCCGAGCAATCCTACCTCCTTCTCCTCTTATTGCATTCACTTCTCTCCCACCGCCACCCTCGACCTCTTGAGCCTCATTCCCTCGTCCTCTTCTCCTGCTCGTTCTTCATCCTCTTATCTCTATTCCACCCTAAGTCCTCTCATAAACCCTAATTCTAACCCTAACCACCAACCCCCTCTCCTTCCTCCTCCTCCTTCGCCCCTTCCTCAAAATCTCCTGATTCTACTCTCGCAAGTGCAGAAACTATAGGTGCAATGGCTTGAAGAAGGCGCTAGAGTTTGATGTCTAGATTCAGATCAAAATAGCATGAGGGAGAAGGGGAAGGAGATCGAGGATCTGATGTGGAAAGGTGGGCAACAATGGAGGAACCGTGATTATGACATTCTGCATGCCGAGTTAAGGAAGATGGCGTTAGTCAACAGTTGGGATGTGCTGCTATTTCAGGCGAGGTGCGGGTGCCAGCTGGCAAAGTTGGAGGCTTAGGGGCACAAGAAGGGGCCAAGGTAGAACTGGAGGCAAGGGTTAGGTTTTTGACACTTCAACTCCAGATGGTAGTTGTATGCAACAAAGGTGTTTGATGAAATGCCGTACAAAATGTTGCTTGGAGCTCTCGTATACTATTAAAGCTTGAATTCATCAAAAGAAGTAGCTCAAATTACTATGATTTTTATTGTTTTATTTTGTTGGTCGTTCATAGGATACAAGAGATATTGTTAGGAAGATTCGTCTGTTTAAAATTTTATTGTTTACATGCCATTTTTGTTGGCTTGAGAATTGTATGTAGTCCGTACATAATGCGTTGGTAATTGAGATATAAAAGCTCACGTACAAAAATATTCATTTGAAATAATGGATGTATAGATATTTAGTATATTAATTGTTAAGTTCTACCAAACACACGTGAACGGTAGCTGACTAACTGTTAACGTTTATTTGTTTCATGTTAAGTATAGTTGAGTAAGTGTTAAATTTTTCTTTTAAACTTTAAGTTTATAATTGTTAAGTTTTACCTAATGCATGTAAACTATGGCTGATTAACTATTAGCATTTATCTGTTTCATGTTACTTATAGTTGAGTAATTGTTAACATTTTTATTTCAAATGTTAATTTTAGTAGATTAACTGTTATGTTTTACCTAATACATGTAAACTATAGCTCATTGTCTATTAACGTTTACTATTGTTAAATTTGAACTTTGCTTGTTTAATTGTTTTAGTTCCAAAAAACTTAACGGATAATTGATATAGTTAACATGAATTAGGTAAAGTTATATCATTCTTGTTAACCTTTCAAAGTACCTATTAAGGTTCTAATATATCTGTTAAAGTTAGGTCATATTTGTTAACTAATCAAGTACTTGTTAAATTTATATTATAACTGTGACAATTATACAATACATGTAAAACTTAGTGCTTACCTGTTAAGGTTATATCATACATGTTAATTTTATAGTGTATATTTTAAGCTTATACTATAACTTGTAGTGTCCACTTTACTAATTTTGATTTAAACATTTTGCGAGATCTTGAGAGGAATCATGATCTAAGGGGATATTTGTTTAGGGTGTTTTATAGAAAAGTTACGACAATGGTAGTTTTATAAATAAAAAAATTCTCAAAATTTCCATAAATTGTATTTGGTTCAACATTAAATTTACAGAAAAGTTTTCTGTAAAGTATAGAAAACTGTACAATTTTACAGAAATTATTTTTCACTCAAAATAAGCTGAAAACACCCAGAAACCTGACACCATATTATTAAAATATTAAACAAACACCCTAACCACATTTCCGCCCCATTTCACTTTTCTCGTGATCGCTAGAACTCGGAAAATTTCTAAGTCTTCGTCCTTCGTTCCCGCCCCCAAACCCATTCTCTCGCTCGAGTCTTCCTCCTTCAAACTCCCTCTAGCTTCCGATCATCTCTCCCCTCTTTCTCGAGCTCGACCTCTGGCTTTTGATCTCCTCTTTCTCGAGCTCAAGCTATGTTCCAAAATTTAACTAGTGCTCAATAATTAATATGTATTGTGCAAATTTGTTAGCTATGTTGTAAAACCTACATACAACGAGTAAAGCTAACATACAACAAAGTTAAACACAACAATGAACTATTATCAATTAATAAGACTCAAATAACAAATCTCAGTTCGAAGTTCAGTAAAGTCCTTCAACTTAGCAACAAATCCAAAAACCATCGTAAAAAAACATCAACTAGATAAAACACCTTCAATTAGAGGAGCAAAGACAAACAACAATAAATATATTAAACCTTAAAATGGTGAAATGTCATTTCATAAGGGAAATTCTAGCTCTAACCAGCCCATATAGCCATTCTCAAAAATCTTCTGAATGGCCGGGTTACTTAAGGCCCAATTACGAGCGAGTCAAACCATTAAGACACGAGTGATCAAAGATCCTATCAATATCTCATCTATCCTTTGGATCAACTATTAAAAAAAAGCAGTTTGTCTATTGTTAAGGGCGAGCAATCCATTATGAATAAATATATTATCTGAATACTTCTCCACTCAAGCTCTCTACTGACTTGATTGCTACCAGAGATCCCAACTCTGAACTCGTATGTATTGCTCACGTGCAGGATGAAACTCGCATCTCAAAGCCTAACTTTCTAAAAGAGGTTTGAGGACTCTTAACCTCTCATAATCCACATAATTTCTTTTTAATGAGGGCATGACGATCCAGGAGAATACACCTTAGACGTTCGAACTATAGATAGTCTCAGTTTTCACAAGATAAACGTGGAGGTTTTCCACTAAGAAATTTGAGCTTTCAAGCCTTAAATTATTGAAAAAAGCAGGCAAAATAAAAAAAAAACTTAAGTATTGAGTTTGAGAGGAAAAATTAACAAAAACTGCAGTGATTTATTGATATTTGATTCTCGAGGAACAAAAAAAAAATATCTTTCTTGAACTTATAGCCTGGATTGGATCCGCTCCCAAAAAAGTTGGATGCGACTGATTTATGAACGACATCAGAGCAACAAAAAAAAAGGAAACCAAGATCTCAACATGATCAGTTCCGAGAGAAAAATACTAGGAAAAAAACAGAAAAACTAACGAATGAAGGTGGAAGTTTTTCATTAAATATTCGAGAAAACATGAACTTCACCTATTTCTTCATTTTGATGCCCCTTATGCACATGGATCTGCACCCAGATTGGGAATAATTCAGAAAAAGCCCCAAAGTTCCAAAGTTAGAATAAAAACTCAAAACTCCAAACGAAAGAAGCAAAAAAAAAAAAAAGAGAAATTTTTAATTTTTGGGGAGGAGGCTCAGATTCACCTTTAATCTATCATGATAATGGATCCTCCCCCTCCTCTGATCTCCCTCTGTACGGACGATTGGCTGCAGCTTTCGCTGCCCCGCCATGGCCGCAGACAAGATCGACGCAGAGGAGACGAGAAAAATTAGGGGGTTTTTTTTCTTCCATTTTCTCCTTTTTTCCGCTTGCGCTGGATCTGAGATTTAGACTTTATCATCGTCATCGCCTCTTAAAGAAAACTACACAATTTTGCTTCTTGGATGAGAAAGAAATAAGTAAGTTGTCTAAGAATTGACATGTGTCACTAGTACTCTTGCAGTCCACTTTACATCCGGCAAAGTCGGCATCACAATAATCATAAAGATCAAAAGCAATATGCTTTGGATAAAACAAACCAAGTTCAATAGTACCATTTATATATCTAATGATTCTTTTAACTGTAATTAAATGAGATTTTCTAGGAGAAGCTTAAAAACGTGCACATGCACAAACACTAAACATAATATCTGGTCTACTAACGATGAGATAAAGCAAACTAACTATCATACCTAGACATAGCTTTTGGTCTATTTTCTCACTACTTTCATCCATGTCCAACTTGATGGAGATGCTCATTGGAGTTGGTGCATGTTTGGAGTTTGACATCCCGAATTTCTTCACCAACTCTCTGATACCAAATGAAATTATCCTAAAGGGGGGTTACTAGAGTAATCAAACAATTATTGTGCAATTAATAAAATTCAATGCAACTCAAGACATAATATAACAATATGACAATAAATAAAAGAGAAAGGGAGAGAGAGAGGGGGAGAGAGAGAGAGAGAGAGAGAGAGAGAGAGAGAGAGAGAAATAGTTAGCCAATTGGCACGCCGATGTGTTCACGATGTTCGGTCCTCTCGACTTGCGTCCCCAATCACCTCTCATGATGGTAAACCACTAACACAACCCGGTTTGAAAGCCAGAACTTCTTCACAACGATCTCCCCAAGACCAAAACTCTCCACACTATGATCTCCTCGAGATCAAAATCTCCACACAATACAAGATGATAAAAATATCTCTCTTACCATAATCCTATGACAATGATTAAGAGATGACATTTGAAGCTTAGGGGTTGTGGGATTTGAAAATGAAAACCAAAATTGAGAACGTGAGAATGAGGTGAAAATGTAAGCTTAGAAGTCTCAAAATAAAAACTCAAGTGCTTTTCTTTGCTTGCTTGGTTACATAGTGAATGAGGGCTGAAGGGTATATATAGACCCTTAAAACAATAGCCTAGATCCAAAGAAAATCACAAAATCTAACAAAATCCCTTAAAATCAGCAAAATTGGAAACTAGCTGTTACAGTGTTATTGGTCGACTGATACACTATTCAATCGACCGATAAGTCAACCATTGGCTAAAAACAGAAACAATCGGTCGACTGATTCGGAGAATCGATCGACTGATTACACTTTTCAGTCGATTGATAGAGATCGGTCGACTGAGCAAATTTTTTTTAGAAAATGCAGAGCAGTTTATCGATCGATGGATAAACAGTGTCGGTCTCGAGCAGTATAGTGCCAAGCAATTGGAGGATGGATGGAATTTATGCCATAACAATGATAATCGTAAAGGTGGAGGCAAGTTGATGAAGAAGGTTAAAATACTCAAAGAGCATTCAAGCGTATATACAAGAAGAGCTTCATCAACAAATTAGCAAATATCGAGACTCGAGATTTATATATTTTTGTGTGCGACATTTGCATTTTTATTTTCTCTCTAGATCATAATGTAAGCAAGAAATAAAGTAGATTACTTTTGAAGCTTTTGGGGATCAAACACACACATTTCTAAAAATCGTATTTTTGACCATTTTGCAAAACGATAAGTTTTCACAAGTGGAAAATAATATTTGAGAAATTCTTTTCTAACATGTTTGTTTCAAGTGAATAAACATTTCCCCAAGTTTCATAATTTTTGAAATTTATTTACTATTATTAAACACATTTTGAAAATCAAGTTGATTATTCAAAACTAAGCTATGCAAGTTTTTCGGTCGACTGACACTGTTTATCAGTCGACCGATAAACTGCTCTGCATTTTCTAAAAGGTTTCTGCCCAGTTGATCGATCTCCATTAGTTGACTGAACAGTGTAATCAGTCGACCGATTCTCCGAATCAGTCGACCGATTGTTTCTGTTTTCATCCAACGGTCGACTTATTTGTCGACTGAATAGTGTATCAGTCGACCGATAACACTATAATGGCTAGTTTCCAGTTTTGCCGATTTTAAGGGATTTTGTGATTTTCTTTGGATATGGGTTATTGTTTTAAGGGTCTATATATACCCTTCAGGCCTCATTCACTATGTAACCAAGCAAGCAAAGAAAAACACTTGAGTTTTTGTATTGAGACTTCTAAGCTTACATTTTCACCTCATTCTCAAGTTCTCAATTTTCGGTTTTCATTTTCAAATCCCACAACCCCTAAGGTTCAACTGTCATCTCTTAGTCCTTGCCATAGGATTATTAAGAGAGAGATTTTTATCATCTTGTATTGTGTGGAGAGCTTGATCTCGAGGAGATCTTAGTGTGGAGAGTTTCAGTCTCAGGGAGATCATTGTGAAGAAGTTTCGGCTTCTAAACCGGGTTGTGTTAGTGGATTACCATTGGGAGAGGTGGTCGGGGACGTAGGTCGAGAGGACCGAACATCGTGGACACATCGACGTGTCAATTGGCTAACTATTTCTAACTCTCTCTATTATTTATTGTCATATTGCTATATTATGTCTTGAGTTGCATTGAATTTCATTAATTGTACATTAATTATTTGATTATCGTATTCAACCCCCCCCCCCCCCCCCCACCCCCTCTAGGGTAATTTCAGAGACCTCTAGTTTGAGATTGTTTATTTTTAAATTTATATATATTGTGTTTGGCAACTTCATAAAATAGGGTCAGGTTTAAACTTGATTTGACTTGTAAAATTTTATTTGCATAAAACGAGACTAGATTTAGCCCACATTTTTTAAGGCTAATTTTAGCCTTCAAAATGGTTGTGTTTTGGTTCACCTCTCCCTCAGGGATTTGGATCCTCTCCGCAACAAAAAAAGTAGTGGAAGAAACACTACGTAATCACAATAATTAATTATCTAGTTAGTGGTTATAATTTTTTCTTTTGAATGTAAATTATGAATAAGTGCAATACATAAGGATATGATGAGTGATTTAGATCATACATAACTGCATACTAAACAATTAACTGTTGAGATTAAAAGTAGTGGTCTCTCCATAACTTGTTTTTATAGTGGAGAGGATCCAAATTCCTCCTTATTCCAAAACAAAAGCTACTTTAAAATATGATAGCGTAGTTACCAGACACGCTCATAGTGTTTTTATTACCGGATGTTGAATATTCTTTAGATCTATGAAATCTAAACAAGGAAAATTGTGGTGAAATTTAGATGATTAAAAATCAATTTTCTTCTTTACTCGAATGCGTTAATTGTTCCACAAATATACCCTATGTGCTTGAAATTCAAACCAAATTGTTTACTTAAGAAAATGTATTGATATTTAATCTCTCTAAGTACGATTTTTTAAAATCTCTATCCATTTTCTCAATGGGGCATAAAAAAATATCAAGAGAAAATTGTGTCAAGGCCCTAAGTTTGAGAAGGACATGTGACCGAGTCCCTCCTACATTTGCCTATATGCTCAAGCTCACAATTATTTGAAAAAATTGTGGTTAGCCCCTCCAAATCATCTATAGCCTATACATATTTGACTGAAAAACCTAATTTTACGCATTCCCCAAAATTTATATTAGACCAACATTCCATGTTTTTACTCCTTCCACCCACTCAAAATCACCATCATCTCTTCTCCATCAAAATGCCCCCTTCTTCTTCCTCTTCTTCCTCCTCTCTCCTCATCTCAAAATCCAAGCGCCAAAATCTTAACCCTAGCAATCCCACCTCCTCCTCCTCTTACTGCATTCACTTCTCTCCCACCGCCACCCTCGACCTCTTGAGCCTCATTCCCTCGTCCTCTTCTTCTGCTCGTTCTTCATCCTCTTATCTCTCTCCCACCCCAAGTCCTCTCATAAACCCTAATTCTAACCCTAACCACCAACCCCCTCTCCTTCCTCCTCCTCCTCCTCCTCCTTCGCCCCTTCCTCAAAATCTCCTGATTCTACTCTCGCAAGTGCAGAAACTATAGGTGCAATGGCTTGAAGAAGGCGCTAGAGTTTGATGTCTAGATTCAGATCAAAATAGCATGAGGGAGAAGGGGAAGGAGATCGAGGATCTGATGTGGAAAGGTGGGCAACAATGGAGGAACCGTGATTATGACATTCTGCATGCCGAGTTAAGGAAGATGGCGTTAGTCAACAGTTGGGATGTGCTGCTATTTCAGGCGAGGTGCGGGTGCCAGCTGGCAAAGTTGGAGGCTTAGGGGCACAAGAAGGGGCCAAGGTAGAACTAGAGGCAAGGGTTAGGTTTTTGACACTTCAACTCCAGATGGTAGTTGTATGCAACAAAGGTGTTTGATGAAATGCCGTACAAAATGTTGCTTGGAGCTCTCGTATACTATTAAAGCTTGAATTCATCAAAAGAAGTAGCTCAAATTACTATGATTTTTATTGTTTTATTTTGTTGGTCGTTCATAGGATACAAGAGATATTGTTAGGAAGATTCGTCTGTTTAAAATTTTATTGTTTACATGCCATTTTTGTTGGCTTGAGAATTGTATGTAGTCCGTACATAATGCGTTGGTAATTGAGATATAAAAGCTCACGTACAAAAATATTCATTTGAAATAATGGATGTATAGATATTTAGTATATTAATTGTTAAGTTCTACCTAACACACGTGAACGGTAGCTGACTAACTGTTAACATTTATTTGTTTCATGTTAAGTATAGTTGAGTAAGTGTTAAATTTTTCTTTTAAACTTTAAGTTTATAATTGTTAAGTTTTACCTAATGCATGTAAACTATGGCTGATTAACTATTAGCATTTATCTGTTTCATGTTACTTATAGTTGAGTAATTGTTAACATTTTTATTTCAAATGTTAATTTTAGTAGATTAACTGTTATGTTTTACCTAATACATGTAAACTATAGCTGATTGTCTATTAACGTTTACTATTGTTAAATTTGAACTTTGCTTGTTTAATTGTTTTAGTTCCAAAAAACTTAACGGATAATTGATATAGTTAACATGAATTAGGTAAAGTTATATCATTCTTGTTAACCTTTCAAAGTACCTATTAAGGTTCTAATATATCTGTTAAAGTTAGGTCATATTTGTTAACTAATCAAGTACTTGTTAAATTTATATTATAACTGTGACAATTATACAATACATGTAAAACTTAGTGCTTACCTGTTAAGGTTATATCATACATGTTAATTTTATAGTGTATATTTTAAGCTTATACTATAACTTGTAGTGTCCACTTTACTAATTTTGATTTAAACATTTTGCGAGATCTTGAGAGGAATCATGATCTAAGGGGATATTTGTTTAGGGTGTTTTATAGAAAAGTTACGACAATGGTAGTTTCATAAATAAAAAAATTCTCAAAATTTCCATAAATTGTATTTGGTTCAACATTAAATTTACAGAAAAGTTTTCTGTAAAGTATAGAAAACTGTACAATTTTACAGAAATTATTTTTCACACAAAATAAGCTGAAAACACCCAGAAACCTGACACCATATTATTAAAATATTAAACAAACACCCTAACCACATTTCCACCCTATTTCACTTTTCTCGTGATCGCTAGAACTCGGAAAATTTCTAAGTCTTCGTCCTTCGTTCCCGCCCCCAAACCCATTCTCTCGCTCGAGTCTTCCTCCTTCAAACTCCCTCTAGCTTCCGATCATCTCTCCCCTCTTTCTCGAGCTCGACCTCTGGCTTTTGATCTCCTCTTTCTCGAGCTCAAGCTATGTTCCAAAATTTAACTAGTGCTCAATAATTAATATGTATTGTGCAAATTTGTTAGCTATGTTGTAAAACCTACATACAACGAGTAAAGCTAACATACAACAAAGTTAAACACAACAATGAACTATTATCAATTAATAAGACTCAAATAACAAATCTCAGTTCGAAGTTCAGTAAAGTCCTTCAACTTAGCAACAAATCCAAAAACCATCGTAAAAAAACATCAACTAGATAAAACACCTTCAATTAGAGGAGCAAAGACAAACAACAATAAATATATTAAACCTTAAAATGGTGAAATGTCATTTCATAAGGGAAATTCTAGCTCTAACCAGCCCATATAGCCATTCTCAAAAATCTTCTGAATGGCCGGGTTACTTAAGGCCCAATTACGAGCGAGTCAAACCATTAAGACACGAGTGATCAAAGATCCTATCAATATCTCATCTATCCTTTGGATCAACTATTAAAAAAAAGCAGTTTGTCTATTGTTAAGGGCGAGCAATCCATTATGAATAAATATATTATCTGAATACTTCTCCACTCAAGCTCTCTACTGACTTGATTGCTACCAGAGATCCCAACTCTGAACTCGTATGTATTGCTCACGTGCAGGATGAAACTCGCATCTCAAAGCCTAACTTTCTAAAAGAGGTTTGAGGACTCTTAACCTCTCATAATCCACATAATTTCTTTTTAATGAGGGCATGACGATCCAGGAGAATACACCTTAGACGTTCGAACTATAGATAGTCTCAGTTTTCACAAGATAAACGTGGAGGTTTTCCACTAAGAAATTTGAGCTTTCAAGCCTTAAATTATTGAAAAAAGCCGGCAAAATAAAAAAAACTTAAGTATTGAGTTTGAGAGGAAAAATTAACAAAAACTGCAGTGATTTATTGATATTTGATTCTCGAGGAACAAAAAAAAAAATCTTTCTTGAACTTAGCCTGGATTGGATCCGCTCCCAAAAAAGTTGGATGCGAGTAATTTATGAACGACATAAGAGCAACAAAAAAAAGGAAACCAAGATCTCAACATGATCAGTTCCGAGAGAAAAATACTAGGAAAAAAACATAAACTAACGAATGAAGGTGGAAGTGTTTCATTAAATATTCGAGAAAACATGAACTTCACCTATTTCTTCATTTTGATACCCATTATGCACATGGATCTGCACCCAGATTGGGAATAATTCAGAAAAAGCCCCAAAGTTCCAAAAAGTTAGAATAAAAACTCAAACTCCAAACGAAAGAAGCAAAAAAAAAGAGAATTTTTTAATTTTTGGGGAGGAGGCTCAGATTCGCCTTTAATCTATCATGATAATGGATCCTCCCCTCCTCTGATCTCCCTCTGTACGGACGATTGGCTGCAGCTTTCGCTGCCCCGCCATGGCCGCAGACGAGATCGACGCAGAGGAGACGAAAAATTAGGGTTGTTTTTTCTTCCATTTTCTCCTTTTTTCCGCTTGCGCTGGATCTGAGATTTAGACTTTATCATCGTCATCGCCTCTTAAAGAAAACTATTGAGATCGAGAGAGAGAGAGAGAGAAGAGGATGATGAAGAAGAAGAAGATGGAGGAGAAAATTCCTGTAGAGGACCCTCCGTAGAAGATCATGGGGCCAAAAGCAATTTTCCTTTTTTTCCCCCTTCTTTCCAAAATTTCTGAGGTGAAAGAATCATCGACTCTCCGTCGAAGGGAGGGAGGGGGGGCGGCTCTTTCGAACCTCCAAACCCTAGAAATTTCTCCTCCGCCGCCGCCCCTACGAACAAAGAGAGCCTCATACTTAAACTAATGAGATGAGGGCACGCTATATTTGTAGAGAGCTCCAAGGACAAATTTTCAAAACAAACCCATTTACAAAATAATTCCAAAAAACGACCCATTCTGAAATAGGTAATGATGATCTGTCATGACAACGGATTCTCCCCTCCTCTGATCTCCCTCCGTACGGACGATTGGCTGCAGCTTTCGCTGCCGCGCCATGGCCGCAGACCCCTCCTCTGATCTCCCTCCGTACGGACGATTGGCTGCAGCTTTCGCTGCCGCGCCATGGCCGCAGATCAGATCGACGCAGAGGTGACTAAATTTTAGGTTTCTTTTATCCTTTTCTCATTTTCTCGCTTGCGCTGGATCTGAGATTTAAGACTTTATCATCGTCATCGCCTCGTAAAGAAATATATATATATATAAAGAGCTTTGCTACAGGGACCCAAAATATGGGACCAATAGGAGGGACAAGTGAGGTGTCCGCCTCTTATTGGATAATGATGGCCAACTCATTATCCAATAGGAGGGGGACACTTCACTTGTTCCCTCTATTGGTCCCATATTTTGAATCCTTGGGGAATTTTTCATATATATATACATGTATATATATATAAAGAGAGGGGGAGGGGGAGAAGAAGAGGAGGATGGTGGTGGTGATGATGGAGGAGAAAATTCCTGTAGGGGACCCTCCGTGGAAAATCATGGGGCTAATTAGATGATCCACAAGTCCAACACGAGCAGGTGCTCCAACCTGATTTACGACAAGAGAAGCAAGCAATCCAACAACAGTTTAGATCATCACATGTACAGTATCAGAGACTAATTAGATGATCCACAAGATCAGGCAGTTTCCATGGAGATTAAAATCTCCACTAAGAGGAATAAAACATTACAAACAAAGAGAACGTTAAAACATACTGCATTCCGAAAACAGATAAGAGTAAATGTCATTGTGCGATACAGATCAATGCATCTTTCAGTAACTCTACACAGGTAAGGAGAAAAAAACATAAATTCATCGATAGAGACGTTTATAAGAACTGGCTGCAATACTTAAAAATAAGGTCAACTGGGAGACCGATTTTAATTACAATATTCATTGCATCCACATCAGATACTGGGCTTTCTGGTTAAGTGTACAATGAAAACTTCAGAAGCATGTGCAAAGTGGGAAAAACCAATTTTATATATGAAAGAAATTTGAGGGCAGGACCAGTGTGCCTTTAATAAGAAAACATATAGCTTCTGTAACTAATACCACCGACAATAAGGTTTCAAAAACTGTGTTATGCATACAAATAGCTGCAATGTGCAATTTTAGAACTTATTTTTGACAATATGGTAGTCTTCCTGTTTTTCTATTAAGACATCCCAATATATCTTTTTTAAAAGGTACAACTTAGAAGTTGCCAAGTAAAAACAAGCCATCAGGCCAAACATTCTAGTTCCCACATTCTGAGTAAATTGTAGAGGTCAAGCATTTAATTTAAAAAAAAAAAGAGTGAATAGGAAAAGGCAAAAATAGCCCAATTAAACAGCTCAACAAGGTTTTAACATATTAAAGATGGGTCGCCGTATTTTCCTTAACTAGTTCTTTGGTAAGGATTGGAGAGGAGATACGTACAAAACAGATGTTTTCAATCCAATAATGGTTTAACAAGCATAACAATAAACTCTCATGTCAGCTAAACATATTAAGGTGCACTTTACAAACTAAAGGACTAAGCATGGCATTCAATTGCTAAATGAGGGGATATGAGCAATTATAGGCACATTCCCAAAATTTCTAAAAGGCAGTGTTTTATACAGTATACCAAGATCATCTTTGTAAGGTAAACAATGTGCCCAAAATCCATAAACAAATTAGCCGATGTCAACATGAATAACGAAGCAATTCATGCAACCGAATACATTATAAGATGTCTTCTTTAGATCAATAAATTGTACAAATAGTTTGTTTATTGATTAGCATCAAATTAAAACCAGCATTTACAAACAGTGTTAGTTAAAATCAGCATGATTTAATCAAACGCGTTGTTTCCATCAGAAGCTTAACGAGCAGGGTTTTAAAGTTACTCAACTTACACCGTAGGAAACAAAGAATTTTGCAAAATACAATGTAGTATAACATGATTTCGCACATCCCTAATATTATAACAGTTACAGTTTGCTATTTAGAAATTAAAATATAAGGCATGAAGTAATGAAGCAACATCATAATATCATGGAACTGTGAAGGGGATAAAGAGTGAAACCTTGTATTTAGCGACCTCCTCGCTAACTTCCTTGAGATCTCCCTTGGTAAAGATCAACCCCACATTTCCCTGCATCACAAACAATCGCGGCATCATTAAAAAGAGAGAGAGATGGAGATTCATTAAACGTATATATCAAGAATTTTTTTTAGTCATTAAACGTATATAACAAGAAATTTTTTTTAGAAGGCAGGGGTTACATAAGGTTCAGGTAGTTCTTGTTGTCGGTGCTCTCAGCGCGAGACTTGATGAAACGCCTGATGAGGGTGTTCTTCCCCATGAGTATCACTGAATCCCCACGAAGGCGACGTTGGCAGCGGCAGCGATTAGAACCTGACTGTACTCATCCAAGAGGCTACATAGCTTCTTGTCGTAGGCCAGTTTCTTCTCGCCTTTCATCACCTTGATTGATGGTCATTGCTAGTTTCTCTCTCTAAGTATCTGAGGTGTACAATAACCCTAACTACGTCGGTGCTAGCTTCTCTCTAAGTATCTGAATGAAGATGAACAATAACTTTCATCACCTTGATTGATGGTCATTGCTAGTTTCTCTCTCTAAGTATCTGAGATGTACAATAACCCTAACTACGTCGGTGCTAGCTTCTCTCTAAGTATCTGAATGAAGATGTACAATAACCCTAACGACGGCGGCTCGACGCTAGGGCCAAGACGAAGTGGATCTTTGTCAAGGTGATCTTTGTCAAGGTGGACGGGGAGCGATCCTGCCGCTTTAACCTCTGAATGATGATTCTCTCAAAAACAACATCCAATACAATATATATATATACATATATATATGTTGTAAAATATAGCCAATGCTTGTAGGAACAGTGCCTAGACCGAAAGATCTTATAGATCAAGGAGATTGTTGTCTTGACCATAAGGTCTTATAGATCGAAGAGATTGTTGTCTTGACCATAAGGTCTTATAGATGGAGAAGATCTTAAAAGTACTGGGTCGGTGCACACCAAAATACTGCATTGTAGTTCCTGAAAGCAATTTGGCCTTAAGATCGTTGCACCGAAGAACCAAATTCTTCTTTAAGGGGCTGTTTGGTTGCACATTTTTTGAGAAAACTTTTCTCAAAACATCTGACAATGGCAAGGCAAATTTGTAATTAAAAGTTTTCCAGAGATTTCTGTAAATTGTGTTTGGTTCAACAAAAAATTTACAGAAATATTTTTTATAAAATATCAAAACCTACCAAATTTTATAAAAAGTAATTTCCTCTCATAATGAGAAAAAAACACCAGAAATCTGACACATACCATATTTAATTAAAAACCTACCAAATCTTATTATTTTCTATAAAGTTATGAGCTATTTTCTTGTTTTGAACCAAACAAGCAAAGTACAAAAAATAAGAAAATTGGTACTTTTTTATTTCTCAAAACTTTTCTTATAATTTTTTTAAGAAATACAAGGAAATCATATTTTAGGTGGAAAATATTTCCTATAATTTTTAGAAATTGAACCAAACACCCCCTAAGTACAGCGTTTTATTAACGCACAGCAGCTGAATTAAAAATTTTAAAATACAGTACTTCGGCTTCTTTTCGACCATATCCTAAAATTATAGGATTTAAAACAAACACCCCTTAAAGAAAATTATTGATATATATATATATATATATATATATAGAGAGAGAGAGAGAGAGAGTAAGAGAATGAGATGATGATTGATGATGGCGGTGATGATGGAGGAGAAAATTCCTGTAGAGGACCCTTCGTGGAAAATCATGGGGCTAAAAGCAATTTTCCTTTTTTCCCCTTCTTTCCAAAATTTCTGAGGTGAAAGAATCATCGACTCTCCGTAGAGGGGGGAGGGAGGGGGTGGCTCTTTCGAACCTCCAAACCCTAGAAATTTCTCCTCCGCCGCCCCTACAACAAAAAGAGCCTCATACTTAAACTAATGAGACGAGGACCGGCTTACTGTGGGCTCGCTCTATTTATATATAGAGTGTTCCAATTCTCGTTCATCTTTTCTCCCCTTCTGGCCTCTTATTAGGGTCTGTTTGTTTGGCTAAAGAACAAGGAAATCAAAGAAAAAGAAACTTATTTTCTATAATAAGTTCCAAATAGGTTGGTTTTAAAAATTTGTCCTGCATGAAGAACAACACATTTGGAGGTTTTCCACTAGGAAATTTGAACTTTTAAGCCCTCAATTATTGAAAAAGGCCGACAAAATAAAAACTTAAAAAGTATTGAGTTTGAGAGGAAAAATTGATTATCTGCCCAACAAAAACTGCAGTGATATTTTGATATTTGATTCGAGAGGAACAATAAAAATCTTTCTTGAACTTAGCCTGGATGGATCTACTGCCAAAAAGTTGGATGCGAGTGATTTCTGAACGAGATCAGAGCAACAAAAAAATAGGAAAATACTAGGGGGAAAACAGAAAAACTAACGAATAAAGGTGAAGTTTTTCATTAAATGTTCGAGAAAACATGAACTTCACCTATTTCTTCATTTCGATACCCCTTGTGCACATGGATCCGTACCCAGATGGGGAATAATTCAGGAAAAGCCCCAAAGTTCCAAAGTTAGAAGAAAAACTGGGAACTCCAAACGAAAGAAGCAAAAAAGAGAGAAATTTTTTAATTTTTGGGGGGAGGAGGCTCAGATTCGCCTTTAATCTATCACGATATAGGATTCTCCCCTCCTCTGATCTCCCTCCGTACGGACGATTGGCTGCAGCTTTCGCTGCCCCATGTCCGCACAGACGAGATCGACGCAGAGGAGACGAGAAAAATTAGGGGTTTTTTTTTCTTCCATTTTCTCCTTTTTCCCGCTTGCGCTGGATCTGAGATTTAAACTTTATCATCGTCATCGCCTCTTAAAGAAAACTATTGAGATCGAGAGAGAGAGAGAGAATAAGAAGAAGAAGAAGAGGATGATGATGATGGTGGTGATGAAGATGGAGGAGAAAAATCATGGGGCCAAAAGCAATTTTCCTTCTCTTTTTTCCTTCTTTCCAAAATTTCTGAGGTGAAAGAATCATCGACTCTCCGTCGAGGGGAGGGGGGAGAGGGAGGGAGGGGGGGCGGCTCTTTCGAACCTCCAAACCCTAGAAATTTCTCCTCCGCCGCCGCCCCTACGAACAAAGAGAGCCTCATACTTAAACTAATGAGATGAGGGCACGCTATATTTGTAGAGAGCTCCAAGGACAAATTTTCAAAACAAACCCATTTACAAAATAATTCCAAAAAACGACCCATTCTGAAATAGGTAATGATGATCTGTCATGACAACGGATTCTCCCCTCCTCTGATCTCCCTCCGTACGGACGATTGGCTGCAGCTTTCGCTGCCCCGCCATGGCCGCAGACAAGATCGACGCAGAGGAGACGAGAAAAATTAGGGGGTTTTTTTTCTTCCATTTTCTCCTTTTTTCCGCTTGCGCTGGATCTGAGATTTAGACTTTATCATCGTCATCGCCTCTTAAAGAAAACTACACAATTTTGCTTCTTGGATGAGAAAGAAATAAGTAAGTTGTCTAAGAATTGACATGTGTCACTAGTACTCTTGCAGTCCACTTTACATCCGGCAAAGTCGGCATCACAATAATCATAAAGATCAAAAGCAATATGCTTTGGATAAAACAAACCAAGTTCAATAGTACCATTTATATATCTAATGATTCTTTTAACTGTAATTAAATGAGATTTTCTAGGAGAAGCTTAAAAACGTGCACATGCACAAACACTAAACATAATATCTGGTCTACTAACGATGAGATAAAGCAAACTAACTATCATACCTAGACATAGCTTTTGGTCTATTTTCTCACTACTTTCATCCATGTCCAACTTGATGGAGATGCTCATTGGAGTTGGTGCATGTCCCGTGAAGTTTAAAAGAGTACTAAACTTCACGGGAGTTGAACTCCCGTGAAGTTTCATAAATTTTTTTTTGAAAAACCGACCTGGTTTCAGCGACAGCGCTGAAACCAGGTCGGTTTTTCAAAATAAAATAGAAAGAGGTCGTTTTTTGCAATTAAATATACAAAAGGATTGGTTTTGAAAATTTGTCCATTTATAGAGAGCTACCAATTCTCGTTTCTCTCTCCTCCCTTTCTCGTCATCAGGGTTACTTGCACTATGGTACCTCATAGTTTACGCTTCCACGATGTTCTCCAATACATTCTTTACTCAAATTGACAACAGTTTCATTGTAACCAACTTCATGGGTGTGTGTTAAGAGTTTATTTTTGTTCCAGTTCATGTTGGGTATATCTTTGCAGTAAGGACACTTCCAATTTCCGTTTCGGTCTATAACTTTTACAGCATTAGCTCTTAGCATAATTTCTGCTAATTCCATGATATCCCACATTTCATCTTGCTCTCGATCTGTATCCGTATACGCAATCCATCTTCAAAAGCTTGTTTAGGTTCAGTAATCCTTCCACACTGATAAAAACAATAGTAAATTTGCATTAAAATAAACAGCTCCATTTTTTATCATAAAAATCTCAAATATTCTTACATTTGATGACGGTGCACATGAAGATTCACCAATATCTTTACTTTTCTTATGGTTAGAATTTGATATGCAAACATTGCTTTTTATAAATGTATATGAACCGTACATTTACTTGGTGGTTGGATGTTGAATCTGACAATATTTATTTGGATCTGTAATTTTTTTGCTGGTTTTGCTCATGGTTTTGAAACTTTACTAGTTTTGTTTCTTGTAGTTGACCCAACTACTCAGTCTCAATTACGTACATGTTTGGTATTTCCAGGTTTGATGCAATTTTCCATGTCATATACATATTTATGACTAATCAGGTTGTTTATAGGTTTTTCCAGGATTCATCGCTAATTCAGGTACGTATTTTACAGGTTTTGTGTGATTTTTTTATGTCAAACATGTATTTTTCATGTCAAATCAGGTACATAGTTCATAATAGTTTCAATAATCAAGTTATTACGGGTTTCTTATGATATTTTATATGAAACAAATATTTATAGTGAATTTGGTATTTACTGTTTTTTCATGTTACATTGCACTTTTATTTTGGTAATATTATCTCCCATAACAATCACAAATAAATTTATTTCTAGTGAGTGGTAAACTTACCGTAGCGATCATATATACTTTTTCCTGCACACTTCAAATACCACTAATGTGAAATAATATATATATACTATATATATATATATATATATATATATATATATATATATATATATAATCAACAAAAGTTTTTCTTTTTTTTATACCAACCAAACAAAAGAAAATGATATACATTGGTTTCCCACCATACTTTATGTGTGAGCCTAACCTAAACAATCTATTTCTTAAAAAATTTTGAAAAACCCAAAACTTAAATTTCTTTACATGGAATTGTATTTCCTAATATATGGTAATCGAACCAAACAACCCCTAATTATAAAAATATATGTAACCACAAGATAGAAAACTAGAAATTACGGAAAAGTCCTACGAGTACAAGGAAGGACCGTACAAATGAGATGACAAGTCCTATCAAAGCAATTCTCATGAGGGTAGCGTTCTCACGTCCCGTTCATCGGAAGTAATAAATCCTAACTCTCAGGCTCAGGTAATATTTCCTTCTCAAAATGAAAACAAGAATCAATTAAATTATAACACCAACATCACATGTATCACCTTATAAATAAAAAGTAGGAAATTAATCCCATTGAAGTAGAGAACAAGAAGTGATAAGAATGATCAATGCTCCGCCAATTTGTTAATTAGAATAAACGAAAAAAATTTGTAAAAACTAGCTTCAGTTTATATCACAAAGAGGAAGAAAGCCAATTTGGGCACTCAGTTTGCGGAAACTTACACACTAGGTAGCTTGTGAAGAAACAAGACATATACAATGTTTGAAATCTATTTCCTACAAGATTTATTCATCACATTTATTCGCTTTACTGCCTCACGAGAGAAATAAAAGGAAAAATAAAGAAATTAGCTACTCCAAGAGACGTCTATGCAGCCTGAACACCGAGTTCCAGGAGCAGAGTGCGACTGAGGTCGTCTGATCCAGGGCCGATAAACTGAATAGGGCCTGCTCAGGAATTCATTATCATGGACAGGTATTAGCCACGGCAATATCAGGGAAAAATTCGTACCAATTTTAATCATTGCAATCAGCATATAAGATATCTTAGCAATCGCAGGATATTGTACTGGAGCAGTGGAAACAAGATATTGCATTCTCCTTCCTATATGATTTCCTTTAGAAGATCTTCTATAGTTTTTTCCGACAATATTAATAATCCCAATTTGTGAAATGGATCCAGAGTGAAAGACAATAACATACCTGGGCTGATGTACCTATTCTTGAGGGCCCATTCATCTCTCATGGATGCAAACTTTCTGAACGGTGCACCTGAAAGTTTCATAAAAAAGATTGATGTATAGAATATTCAGTAAGTGAAGAAAAAGAGAGAATTATGAACATGGAACCATAGCTACGAGCAGCACATGTACCTTCAAGCTCCACCATGGCCTTCTTGATCACTGGCTTGAATTTACCTGGAAGACAAAAAGCTATTAGAAAACAATTACATGTAATAAAAAACTTAAGCTTACAAAATAGCCGAGCATAGATAACAAGAATAAAAAAATTTAAGAAAAAAAGAGGAAAATTCATCTACAATTTTTCACTCATGAAAAAAGTACAGCTTCCTTTGCAGTTCACTGATTTCCATATACAACGTGTTTTTTACTCCTAACAGACCATCAAAGTGCAAGAACTTCATGACTGTGCCACATTTTAATACTTAATGTTATGACCTTGAGTTGCACTGTTTCGAACAAGCTAAAACAAGTTTTTATAACCTGCATGCACATTGTTTAAGCTTGGGCAATGCATAATAAAATCTTGAACCCCATAATCTCAAAGTTCACTAGCAGGAAACACAGGATTAAAGTGCAATTTCTCAAGGCAACCAGGGCGGGCTAATTGAGGCAAGTAGTGTTGAATGGGGCATTGACTTATTAAGTTTCTACCCCAATTTTCACAGGGAAAGAAAGCTATGTTACACACACATGAAACCTCATTAATTTTTCTCTGTTCTATTCAACTATGGCTCTCCGTTAGTACGGGAATATATTATCTAGAGAAAGTATTTGTGAACCAAATCATGTCTAAATGCATTCCATTGTATCGCAATAATGACTGGATGAATATCTGATGGGCAAGAACAAAAAGATAGGATTAAGACAAACCTTAAAAGTTACAAGAAATTTGAGATGAATTTAGGTTAATAGATTGTAAGAGACAAGCTATTTACATGTGAAGCCAGGTAACCAAATTATTAAGCAATAAGTGACTATGAACCCTGATAGCAATTGTCATACGTATAACACCTCCAACTCCGAAAAAACAAGGCAAGTAAAAACAAAGAGGAAAAAAAGGATAAGAGAAAGAATAGTACTATTCATTCACAGTACAAAGACAGGATGGAGAATATGATACCATGTCGCCTCTCAACATCCATCAATGCGGTCAATGCAGTCCCTCCAACAGTCCACTCTTCAACGGGGGCACATAAGTTGCCAACCTAAACAAAATAGCAAATAGCAAACTCATATTTTTCTTAAATAGTACAGTCATAGATCAACTAGCCATGTTTGTCGAGTCTTTATAAAAAGTATTATACAGGTCATCGAAATAGCTTTCAAAGAGAGAGGAGTTATAGAAGCACAAACTGAGGAAATGAGGCCAGTCTTTCTGGAGTGGAGGAGAGCGCCAGCTGCATAACCCAATGCATAGCAATAAGTTGCGTCAAAATTTGTTGGTAAACCACATCTTCCTTCATATCTGCAAGTTGAGTCCATTTAGCATTCATGAGATGTAACCAAGTGATGAAACAAAAAAGTATTTTGGAACTCATTTGCCATTAATGATGGAACTAGTAATAGATTATCAAAATGTTATCAGTTGGATGCTCCAAAAGATCTACTTAAAATTTAGTAATTTAGTAATCTAAGACGCATTCATAAATAAAATTTTCAAAACGATGATTTCCCTTTCAGGTACAAGCAAACATATAGGGGAATTCAGTAGTTACCCAAAAAAGTGAGACTGTCCTTTAAAATGTCCTTTATATGTTCCGGCCAACTTTCTTTTCTCCAATTCAGTTTCAACCATCGAGATAAGCATCTTCTCGGTTTCTATTTTGGCAACCTGGAAAAGTTAATACATATCAGCAACAGGCATTACCCACTTCCACTGAATAGCCTAGAAAAAAAACAAAAGAATTTTTGACTTCGAATACCTGCACATTTCCATGCGGGTCTCTCTCTAACATCAGTTGCTCCTGGATTGCTTGGGGAAGAAATTCAAATAGAAGTTGGGATTGTTCTCGTAGCTTCTTTTTCCACAGACCACCTTCATCAACAACATCATGTGCTAGGATTTCATTAAGTTCTGCAATGAGTTGCTGAACCTGATAGTACGAAAAAAAAGACGCTCTCAGATAAAGAACTATAAAATTGAGGCCATAGACAATACAGGCAGTACCTCAGGAATAAAATCAATTAAACCTTCTGGTATAAGGATGACACCATAGTTATAGCCAAGTTCAGCACGCTTGCAAATTACATCAGTAATGTAATCTGTAACAGTTTTAAGAGTTTGCTTTTTAGCAGCCACCTGCAACAAGTAACAGATAGAAGATATTATAATAAAATAAAAAAATCAGACGTGATTGACAAAAGTGAATTTTTTTTTTGTACTGCTAGTAACCAAGCAAAAACTGGTATGGAGTGTTTACACAAGGTGCCAACATCTCAGAAGAACTTCTAAGCAAATGCAAGATACATCCCATATCTATGGTGAAGGGGGAAGATTGTCAATCTATTAGATAGTATCACATTGGTAAAAAAGGATAAATAAACACTTTGCACATATATGGATTCACAAGAGTATATATAAATAAATAATAAGTTTAAATAAGATCACAAAACAATTCGCGGAAGCAAAAATAACCATAACCAATAATAAATCTAAATGTGTTGCATGGGAATGGATTAAGGTCAAATGCAAACATGGGTCAGTAAAAGAGAGGCTATGAGCTTAACGAACATGAAGGGGCCTCAATATCATAGGCTTTTTGCGGATCGGAACATTGGCCTGGGATCAATAGCTAACTAGTATAGTTCTTTAGGGGGCATTTTGTAAGCTAAGATAGGATCAGGCCAATCGGCATATCTTAATCTATCCAATGCCTAGTTACTTAATGGTAAACCTTAATAATTATCATAACCATGACAAGAATGCCGTAAACAGTGGACTTACAAGGACGGAATTCTGGTTACCAATTTAGATTTTCAATAAATCATGAATAGCTCACCGGTTTCTCTCCAACAAAAAAACAAGAAAGGAATAACAGTCCAGTCATGTGTAAATGTTTTTATCATGTGATAGCTTATATGAAGGCTGGACCTTCTTTTTAGCCTCAAAGAATCTTCAATAGATGCATCCATTTAATGAGATTCTTGTTGACTTTGTGCACTGCCCACTGATAAAAGGGTGAAACACAACATTTGTTTTCTGGGTAGGTTACACCTTCACACAGATTCCCCGTGTTCGATATGCAGTCAAGACTGAAGACAATAGTATTTACATTTTGAGTAATTCTCAAAGAAGGTTAAACTCAGCTCTAAAACTAGAGGAGTAAGACAAAATATTTACAAGGCTGAATAAGTTTAAAACTACACATGTCAAAGAACAACTATGTAACACAATCAGTTGAACAGAAATCATAATGCAACAAAGAAGTTGCATGTCAATAATAATATTCCAGACTGAGTGCATTGCAACTTCACAATAAGCCTTTTAAACAACTTCAAGTATAGCAACAATTTACAGGTTGTAACACTGATTAGAACAAAAATCACAAGGTAAAAGAAATACACCTCTTCTCCAATGATTGTAATGTTTGGATGTGTCTGCAAAGCACACTCCAATGTGATGTGAGAAGCAGCACGCCCCATAAGCCTAACAACTGTATGCATGGTAAATCTTATAAGGCCACACAGAACTAGCAAAATTTTTAATAGATATTCATCAGAAAAGGAAGTTTGCAAAAACTATTAACACAAAAAAAAATGCGGAAAAGATTAGACACAAACACTGTAGTTCAGTTGTATTTTAATTACAATGAAATTCAAAATTTTCTAACATAACTTGTGTACTTCAATAATGTATCAACTAATCTTAACTCGGTTAAAGCTGAGATGGTAACCAGGAGAAAGGCAAAAAATAAATTTCATTGAACAGGATAAAAAGGCAGGAGGGGGAATAAGGTGCTAAATAGGGTTGATCTCAAAGTTGAAGAAATTAACCGCCATGTCAAGGCAGTAATAAGCTTGCTAGATACATAGGACTAGTTAATCTTGTATCTGAAGATAATTTGTAAAAAGTTACTCCTAAATTTATTATGATCAATAGATATACATGCTTACTAAGAACTAACTGTGCACGGATACAAATCCTAGTTTTCAGCACTAGGAGTATCGTAGCAACAGAACCATCTCACTAAAACAGCTTTACTGAGGCAATTTGACATAAGAGAAACAAAGCCCACTACAAATTTATCTAGGGGGTTTTCAAACCCGAAAACTTACAGTGATAGTATTTTCCAGTTGATCGAGCATCTGTCATGACATTTCCTATCATTTCGGAATATATCTGCAATACAATAAACAATTATAACTATAATCTCTGAAAGCAATCAACTTAGACAAATTTCTCACTATGCGACGCTATCCGCTATCGATAATCTTGGCTGTTATATATATATATATATATGGGTATGCTTGGTAGTAAGGTGACATAATCCCCTCCACTCATTCAAATGTTTGCATATCCCCATTCACTCCTCAACCCATATGAATGTGGTCCCCCATTTGAATGAGTGGAGGGGATTGTGCCACCTCACTACCAAGCACAAAATTTGTGCTTGGTAACAAGCATACCCATATTTCTTTTATATATACACACACACACACACACACACACACACACACACACACACATACATACATACTTGGACGATAACGTACAAAACTAAGGATTAAAAAGTTAACCAATAAATGAATTGTTTTCTGGAGCCTAGCTATTAGAGTGAATAGGCTAAAGAATGTTTCATAAGAAATGAATATAAGATAACATGTCCAGCCATATATGTATAGAGCCTAACTTATTGCATAACAAGCACCACAACATTTTCCAACATTCTCAAACAAAGTCTGGACATATATTCCTCTGGAGCATGGTGAAAAGAAAACACAATTGGATTAGACAGATTCGCATGTATGGAAATCCCAATATGTGTGATAACATTTGGATACTCCAGAGAATAACATAAACACAAAATCATAAGGTGAACCAGCTACGTTAATTACAACTTAGTTGTACAGTTAACATCCACAATATCCAATGCAAGTAAAATATATCTGATACATTTGTTTTAGAACAAACGATACTGTAACAATGCCAAATAAAGGCGTCAAATATGTACTTTGGGAGGTTTGATCGGATGATTTGACCACGTTATGTCGTGGGTTAAATGGGCTAATAAGTTCTATCATAATAGTTATAGAATTAGTTATTAATCTAATTGCACATTTTATTTAACATGTCTCTTCCATTGATTTGCTTTATACATGGCACATGAACCAACTAAACCGTTCTCAACACAGATTAGAAAATAGGAAACTGACAATATTCATAATTAATGAGGTGTTAGCTCCTACTTTGGGAGTCACAAACTCCATTGTCTAACTTTGTTTCTTAATGTAAAGCTGTATATGACTACCAAACTATCTAAAGAATATTACTAGCGAGCCACAACAAGATCATATAATGGGTAGAGAGGCCATATCATGTCATAAGGGCCTTTACTGTGCAAGGTTATACATAAAAGTCATATGTAGAACTCCATAAGTGGCTACAAAATATATTCAACATTTTCTCGCAATTGTTTTCTCATATATGCCCCTGCTTAGGAGTGAATACACAATTTGCAAGGAACTACGGTGTCATGTGTATTATAAAGTACTAGTGTACGTACACAACGCATATCTATACTCGTACGGTGAGGAGTGCATTTGTTTGCAATTATCAATACCTTAAGATAGGAATTATATGGTAAATATTTGCCTAAAACTAAATATCGAAATAGGATAGAAACAGTAGATGCCTAGATGGAGAGGCTGGCAAGCATCTCAATGTTAATAAGAACATAAATCCGGTCATAGTACCAAGTACTAACAACTGGTCTTAATCAAAACACATAGAAATACATATACTGGAGGAAATGATGCCAGTATGCAACCTATATATAGTTTGAGACGAGTGGCCGTATCAAACCCAAAACTCGTAGGAACCTCCTTGCTCTTCAAATCCCCATCAATTGTTTTCGGGCATCCAATAACCCGGGTTTTGATATTCTTTTGCCTAGAAAATTGCAAAATGCTAATAATTCAATATAAACTAAAAAAAAAAGAAACAGAAAGAAAGAAAGAAAGAAAGAAAGCACCAACGTGAAGTTCTCAGCAAGAAGGCATGCATTAGTGTTTGAGTCATCTCCACCAATAACAACAAGTCCATCCAGGTCAAGTTTCTTTGCTGTATCTTCAGCTTGCTTGAACTGACATGAGTAAAAGCCAGCAGTTAAACATAGAAAACAACTGTAAACATTTATCAGCTACAAAAATGATAAGAAAAATAATAATTGGGCCTGGATATACGTGCACAAGGTATAGAAGCCTACACTCATAGCAGATAACCATACATGCAAACAGGTACACACTTATATAAATTATAACAGAAAAAGCACCTGTTCTGGAGTTTCAATCTTGTCCCTTCCACTGCATATCATATCAAATCCACCCTGCCAATATCAAAATTTAAAACATTAGCTAATGAATATTATCAACATTCAGGAATAACCATCAGTAACAAAAACAAATAAGAGAAATTTCATTGCTCCTCTCAGATACATAACAGACCAGATCAGTTTAATAATCAGGTTGGATCGCTAAAAGTTGCTATGGAATTTCAATTAAATAAACTTTTTATTATGGGAGATCAGATTTTTGTGGCACCAATTAAAATAACAAACTTCAGTAACCATCCTTCTGACCAGGACATTGGAAACTTCCTACTAATTATACAGATCTACATTATCAAAAATTCAAACATCCAAGCATGGAGCCATTGCTATTTAATCAAATTGTTTTGCCTAATCATGAAAAGAACTGGATTATGCCTATCAATGAATCGAAACTTCAGGTTAGTTAGAAAGGCCAAGTTATCACTATCAGGTTGGCAAAATGGTTGATGTCCCATAACTGGACTTGAACAAGATATGAAAGCTTAAACCCGACAAATCTGCAGCCCATACCCACAAAATATAGTTCAAAGCTGGTCACACTTCAATTTCTTAGGCCAAATTCAAGCTCAAAATAGCAGCAGAAAGTCCCTTTTTCGTTTTGTTGTTGGTGTAGAATATTGAAGAAAAAAAAATACAATCTTTATTGGTTCAAACAAAATGTTATATTTAAAACTTTTGAAACAAAGAGCTATTTTTAACCCTTTGTTCTAAGCTAGACAGGCTCAAAAGTCAAAACTAGCCCATATATTAGGTAAACTCTAAAATCTAAATGGCTGGTCTGGCCAATTTAACCACATATCCTATTTAAGCCAGACTCTAAGTCTCTAACTGGGTGGTTTAGACTGAATCACACATGGAGCGACCCAATTCCTTACAATGTAATAAAATTAAAATTATATTTCACTTGATTAAATACCCATTATGGAGATTACCAAACTAAATTAAAAATATGTGCCATCCAATCCACATAGTACTAGCTACAATACTAGCATGCAAGTACGTGTTGTCCTGTCACCTCTCCAGACATGCCCTTTGTCAGCTATCCATTATAATGAAGTTCACTAGAAATAAATTATTTTTTGTCATTAATGTATAATTGTATGTCATCCAGTTCTTATAGAGAAGAGAAGCCATCTCAGAAGGCCCACAAATGTAAAAACTTCCCAAATAGCAGATATATAGTATGACATTGCAAATTTTTAAGTCTGTTTCTACATAAAAGTTGGTTCTAGACCAGTTTGATATAAAGGCAAATGTTGAAAAGAGGTTGCCAACTACCATAAGTCTAACTTTGTCTCTTGTTAATATCTAAAGTAATGAAGAAAGTCAGATAGGTCAACTGTCAGTATCTATCACTGTTAGACGAAGGGAAAGAATGAACCACCTAAAGGTCACATTTAAAGTTGAAAAAGGACAGCAACATTTCCAATCATAGAGTATACAAACCATTTGAAATATCTACATATGCCATACTAATTTTTTTTTAAAAAAACTTTACTAGTTGCTAAATTGTAACACTTACAATTAAATAAACATGTGAATTTTCATCTTCCCTATTATGGCCAAAGCTAGTTAACAAATAATAAAATGAATCCACCAACAACTCTTAACAAAAGAACCCTTAAATTTTATGAATCTAAAACAAATCACCTGATTCCTGTAAGGATAGATGAACTCAGGCGTAAGCTCAACGTATTTGCATTTCATGATCCCTGCCGGTCCTCCCTTAAACCCATACACTGTGCTCCCCTTCGCCCGATTCTGCAAGTAATCTACCGAACCAAAAAAAGAAGATAACCTAAATCATTATAAATCTCCATAAAATAAACATGAGAAAGAACAGAGAGGGCAGTCCAGAGACAAACCAAAGATTCCAGAGATGACATTGTGGCCGCCGGGAGCCTGGCCACCAGAGAGCACGACGCCGACCTTCAGCGTACCGGTCATCTCAGAGGGCACGGATCCAGTGGGGACCAGCATTGCCGATGGCTGGCCAAAAAGTTTCGGGAAAAGCTTCGCGATCTCATCTGCAACCAAAAACCAATCCGAAATCCTATGAGATCCGCCCTAATCTTGGGTAGATTTCACAAGCATTCCCATAATTTGAATGATTTACATAAAGCCTCTATCCTCATTGAAGATTACAAAACAAAAAAAAAACTTAAATTTTAGGGTGTTTCACAAAAAAACACGCTGAAAACTATGGGACTCCACAAGAACTTTTTGGCGAGAATTCCTTTCTAGGGTTTATCTGTAGTCTCACAAGACCAATCCAAACCCTATCTGATCAAGCAGACGCCCTAAGATCAGATCTTGCATAAATTCCTGTGAAAGCCCTCAAATTCCGCGTGATTTGCATACAACCTAGGGCTTGTCAGTTGCCACTTCACTAAGTGTAACTTTTCTCTAATTTTTTTGAAAGCTCTTGGGAGTTTCCCGTGAAACTTACGCACCACCGATCTCAGATCTCAGATGATGAGACCGGTGACGTCACCACGGACTGACCTGGGTTGCCGGCGGCGGAGCTGGGGGGGCCGTCGGCGATCTTGAAGGGGGACTTGAGGACGGAGGGGAGGGGGAGCGGGTGGTTGAGGCGGCTGGTCTGCACCTCGCTGGCGAGTCGGCCGGGGGCTGCGGCGTTGCTGCTCATCGGAGATCGACGGAGAGAAAATGAGAGGGTTTGGTGTTTGGGATGCCGCCATTACTTGTGCGGTGAGATAAGACCCAAATTTTCTAGCCCAAAACCATGTTTCCAGAAAACCATCAACAAAAAAGTTCTACTCTTCATAGGACTTGTATTGTTAATAAAATCCCATCAAATTATAGTTTTCATCTATATCATAATGTTAAATAAAAGGCTAAATATCAATATTGGTATTTTAATTTCACCCCATTTACCAAAAAGGTATTTTAATTAGGCTAATCTGCTTTAAGACATTTTAATTGATTCAACTTACTACGAAGGTCCTTTTTCTCGTCGGCGACCACTTTTCCGGCGAGGGCTCATCACGTGCGTGGCACGTGATAACTTAAATTGTTTTTTAGCTGTTGATGTGGCACAGATCTGTCCTATTTTGGGTGAATTGGGATTTTTAGAAGGTTAATTCCCACCTTTAAATACTATCACGTCAGAAAATCTGTGCCACGTCAGCAGCTAAAAAACAGTTTAAGTCATCACGTGTCACGCACGTGACGAGCTCTCGTCGGAAAACTGGTCGCCGACGAGAAAAAGGGCATTGTTGGTAACTTGAATCAATTAAAATGCATTAAAGCAGGTTTGTCTAATTAAAATACCTTCTTGGTAAATGGCGTGGAATTAAAATATCAATATGGGTATTTAGCCTTAAATAAAATGCTAAACCTCTAAAAATATTCTCACAGTGGAACCCACGAATTTATTATTACTAGATTTCATGCACGTGCAATGCACGTGGTTAAATGATGTGATTAGGTACTTTTGGTTTATTTTCTTACTAAAATTTATTCATCGGTTGCTCTTTGATAATAATTTTTGCTCACTTTGATTAAGTATTTTTGGTTTGTTTTCTCCTAAAATTTGTTCCTCAGTTCCACTTTGATTGTTTATTTATTTGATGTTTGTTTGAATATGCTACATCCAGTTTAAATTTTTATGTTGATAGTTGAATTGTCAGTAGATAAATATAATCTAAAACCAATTTAAATTTTTATTTCATTTGGATCGGAATGAAACCGAGCTTCACCTGAGAAAGTATAATGTTATGAAAGTGAAAACACTTGAAAAAATAACATTATAAAAGGAAGATGAATAATAAAGCCAACGAGCCAAGATGATTGATTTAAAATAGGTTAAAATGACAGAAAATTATTAATGAAAAAAAAATCATAAACTGAAGATTAATGCTAACTCTAGTACACTTTTATATGATAAAAACATCCACATATGCATATGAAAGCACTAAAATAGTTTATGAAAATCCCTTCTAAAGATTCCTAATTTTACTAAAAAATAAAACTATTCTATAACAATTCACAAAACATTATCTTTTGTTACTTCTATTTTATTTTTATTTTTTTTGAGTCGAGATCAATCATTCTTCATCTTTATCTTTTTCCTAGTCAATTCTAGCGTAGTAGTGTCTTCATTGTCTATATCAATTTTTATATGAGACTGGAGCATATTATCTTTCTTTGGGCTCATTCATCTTTTGTCTTCTCGTCTAAATTCACAAAGAAGTTGAATATATTTCTTATATTCAACACAAACTTCTGACAATACGAACTTTGATTTTTTCCTATTTCAATAAGAATAAATATTAATTTCATATATATGAATTTTTTTTCTTTTAATTTATTACTTAAATAAGATTAGAAGCTATCTCTTTTTTCTCTACAATGAATTCTTCTATTGTGCATCCAATAAGAATTTATGTTGTATCATAATGTTACATTTTCTTTGCATGTGTCATTTTTTATGAGGATCTAAACTAAATACATTAAATTTTTTATTATCAATTTGCTTTAGATTATAATATTAATATTTAATTTTGATATATTTATTTCATGAAGAAGAGATATCACTTAGCATTGGTACTAAATCATTGGCGATTCTACATTATTTATCATCTGGACACTTATTATTAACATCTTTATCCACTTTCTTATTGCAGCATTTGCAAACATAGAATCACTGCCCAACTCTATTATAAATGGTAGTTATCGTTGCCCTAAAGATGCGATAGTATGTCTGTATATTGGTAAATTATTCTTATGTTTAATTATATGAATTTTAGAGTAGGTTTTCTAAGATCATACATCTTTCAAATGTTATAATGCTTGTATATATTAGTAATTTGAATTTCTGTTGTATTTATAAAGAGCCTTAATGGAGATACCTTTGTCTTGGCAACTTACTCTAAAATAGCATTGTATATTAGCTTTAAAATGTAATATTTTTTCTTTACGATGTTATATGGATGTTTGCTTGGTTTACTTACTATTCTCTTATTTCTCCAATAAGTTGTGTCTTTGGATTGATATATATTATTGACGCAATTTACGATGACATGCATATCTCCTCTATAAATTTGAGACAGATATAAGGTGAATTTTATATTTAGTGGCCTTTAATAAGAATTTTACTAATAAAATATACTACCTTCATACTTAGAGATCTTGAATTCTAATAGTGTTATTATATCATTATCTTTAATAGTGTCTTTAAGAATTGATCCTTCGTTAGTAGTCATACCCCTAAATAAAGTCACACGCAGGGTCATGATACTATATAAGAAAAAGAAAAAGACCGATTTTATATTTTTTGCTCACGCAAAGTATAGTAATTTTTTTATCTTCTATGAAGAATGTTTCTTTGATGAGCACAAAGTTGTTCAATATATTCTTCATGGGGTATTCAGTCGGTGTTTCTTTGATAAATATAACTTATGTTAGTGTTAATTGAAGTAATTCATAGACGTTCTGAATTCCATTTGAAATGAAAACAGCTTGATTCTTTTGAAGGATATCTTTAAATATTTTAATAGTTCTCCATACATAAAGCTTTATAATTTTTTACCTAATAAATATTATTACCATTAGAGATCAATATTTATAAATTATAATCAATTAATGTTAAGCTATTATATTATAGTCTTTTATTAGTTTTTTGTGATTTAGTTTTCTATCAATTAATGATACTTATGTATTTTTGGTGTTCTAACATATTGGTAAAATTATATGTAGTTACTTTTGTTATGGTAATTTACCATCCAAAGATAGAGGTGTCGGGAGAATGTCTGCATAAGCTTAAGAAAGCTATGGTCCAAACCAGCTTAGAGTCTCATAAACCCAGCCAAGGTCAAGTCTCTTGACTAGACGAGCAGACAAGCTATATTTCGATCAATGGTCATCATGACTGACTCGAAGTGCGGGATCAGTCGCCCCCTCGCAATTAAGACGACTCCTCGAGCAGACGACTTGACTATACACTCGACCCGAAGCTCACTCGACAATCGGGTCATCAAATCAGAATGATGGCTCGCAGATCAACCCGTCTCGACGAAAGGGATAAAAGCCGACCAAGTTCACTTCAGATGTCAATCGACAACAGTATTGATTAGTCCCATCAAGATCTCCATTCTGACAAACCTCGTGCCCAAGCCGCTTATTCTGCTCACAAGTCATTTCCCAGAAGATTGCCATGATGCTTCTCTGTGCACGAATGACTTTTCCTCCAATGATCAGCCGCCACCTGGAGAGAGAAGGACGGTCACGTAGCCGACATATCCTACGCCCTACCTCTTGTATAAAATCCAGGATACAGAGAAGCTGTTTCTCTCATGTATTCGAAAGACTTCCCTTCCAGTTGCCAGTCGACATCTGGAAGGAGAAGGATGACTCAGCACCTCTACTGCTCACCTCTCAGCCGCCTCCTGTGTATGACAAAAGCCGAGGGATAACACACTCAGAAGCAAGGGACTATAAAAGGAGGAGAAAAGAGGAACGCAGGGGGTAAGTGATTTTTTGCTTGGCTACTTCTTCTTCATAAAAAATAGGAACCTACCTTGGTTAAGAAAGAACTAGAAAACTCTCAAAAGAGTACTCTCCGAGGACCTCAATGGCCCGAGGACCTTCCTCTAAACCCCACTCAAGCTCCACAACTGACTTGACCATCGAAGGTACCACGAGGAAACTAGCCCTGTACTCCTGCGATTCTTGCATGTGCAGGTCATCAGCCCACCGCGCGCGCTCAGAATTGGGCGTAAAGTCGGAGGAGGAGTTGGCCCCAACATCCATCCTCTCCCTTCTCCTCAGCGTCGTCAGGATCGAAGCTGCATCCTATGATGAACAACCCCTATCGACTGTTTGTTCACGAGCATCAACAAACTTTAATTTATACAATAACATTAAGTTTTAATATATCATATATATTTTAAAATTTTTATTATTTAAATGGATATTTTTAATCTATTATTATTACTATTTTTTACCAGTATCAACTTAACTATTTTTAGATTCTAAAAGGGGATAGTAAACCTTAAATTATAAGTTATATTTATATATCTTAATAAAAAAATATCACGCAATTACTCTTTTATTTGCTAAGTTCTAAATTTTTAGTTTTTTATTTTGTGTAATTTTAAACTTTTGAGAGTATTTTGTCTAATTTTTAAAAAAAAATTTGTAATACTTCATGTAATAAACTTATAGTACGGAGATGTTTCATATATTTTATTAATCTTATTTAAATTATTGAGCTATAGATAGGTCATGGGGTTTTAGGATAGGATATAAGTATGATTAGTATAGATTATAATTTAAATTAAATATTTAAAATAGTACAGTTTGATTTTGACTATGGAAAGCTTTTCCTGAACTCGTGCTTTTAAAGGAAGTATGATTTTTTATTTTCCTTAATTTTTCTTTTTATAATTTTGAGAATGACTTTTGTCTCGTTAATTTGTTTGGTGGATTTTGTAAATATTCCATCCACATTATGTATATTTGTTGGTCTAGGTTGTTCCCGGGTTCGACCTTTGGGGTAGACATTATTTGTCTTATTAATTTATTTATTTTTTGCATATACGTCCTTGGTTTTGTAGATATTTATAAATTTGGTATTTAATAATTTTATTTAGATTTATATTTTAATTTAAATTGTATCATTATCTTCATACCATGTATATCCAATAAGAACTCATCAATTTATCA